CTTATCAGCATCTTAATATTACTTTCGCAAATTTATTATTACATCTTTCAATCTATATTCTTATATCATAAATTATGGATTCATAAAGCAATTAAACAATTATTCAATAGTTCCGCAGACGAGTTTTGGCTTCTCTTTTCCATCATTTATAATCAATTAAGAAGGATTAAATATAAGTTAAAGAATTTAATTCAAAAAATAATTTACAAATCTGTTCAATTATTAATGCTAATATTCTAAAACAACTTTATTAATAGAGCAAATATTAAAAGTAGTGGTGATTTCATTTTAATCTTAAAAATAGTCCTTATTATAATTAGCGTATTGATATGATATTTCATCAAGGTTCACTATTTCAAATGGGTGATATTATTGTAATGTAAAAGGGTAATTAGTAACATCGAAAACTCTTAGTTCTCTTAATTTACCACTCATAAATTTGGAATTTTAAGTAAATTCTACTTCATGTGTTAAATCGCATGCCTATATATACCCTAAAAGCACATGCGATTACCTATGTACTAAGTTGACTTTGGCTTGCTCTATTTTTACTTCCATGATTTATACAGATTCAATTGAGAAACTAGTAAATAATTATTGAATTTAACTGATATTTTCTTCAACCGCTTTTTTCGAAATTATCTTGCTTATAATTTCAGAAAATTTGTTGTTATAACATCTTTGAGATTATTAACTTAGTAATTAATCTAATTTATGCTAAAGTATCTAATCACTAGATTCTCCTTATAAGACTAAAGAAGCTTCTTCATCTTCTAAGTTAATAGCATCAATTCCAAAAGCCTTTGTGCCTAATTTGCTTAATTATTAAATGGATAAGTAACTATCAGGTTTCCAATTTAGAATAAATTATCCTATATTTAACTTTGTTTATGAAAAATTATGCTCAATTGTATTTTCAATGGTAAGAAATGCATCCTTATATTCTGGATCTTTCCTTATTAAAAATTAAAGATCAGGATTATCAAATTTATACACCTAATCTATAATTTCTAGATCTCCTAAAATTATTGTATTATCAAATCTATTTGTTTGCTTATGTGATTTATAAAATACATCCTCTAATTTTAGAGAGTAAAGGCATTCATTTTCTTTTATTAGTTTTAAATCAAAGAGTGATAATTTTAGTTAAATTTACATCAAGGATTAGTCCACTAAAGTATTTTAAACACTTTCGTCATCCTTAAATTCATCGAGCATATTTGTCAACTCTTTTGTCAAATTCTCATCTATTTTTAAATACCAAGTTTGATTGTTAGATAAAACCATACATTCTTAATTTTCAATTAATGTAGCTCCTTTTAATAAGATTCTATCTTCCCATTTTAAATCATGTTCCTTCTAATAAGAGTATAAATATGATCCTGAAACAACTGAGTATCTTTTGGCCCACAAATAATTTATTTTCTTGATTAGTTCCCCCTTATAATTAGAATTTTTTAATATTTATTCTTTCTCTTTTGTTAATTTTTTTAATTTTTCCTCTTCACTTTTTTCAGGATAAATTAGTTTATCTAAAGTTGATATTTCCTTCTGAATTTTTTCTGTTAGAGTAATTGAAACAGGCGGTATTATACCACTTAAGATAAGCCTCGGCTTTTCAGGATGTTCCAAGGCTCCTTTCATTCTTTCTAGAGAAAATTAAAGGGATAAATTTTACAGAATGTCTAGCTAATTAGACTTTAAATTAAGATTTGTTATTGAGAGGGTGTAATAATCATAATACTTTGAATCTTTTTCACTTTATATGCTTAGGTTACCCAAATCAAAAATAATATTATTTAAAATTATTCTGGGGCTAGCTATTAAAATGAATAGTTCTAACCTGTATGAACTGTTCATTACTTAATCGAACCTGATTGCAGTTTGATTGCTCACTTTATTTAATTTTTCTTAAGCAGCTATTTGTACAACATTCTCTTCTACCCCTTCAATATCAAAAAAATTATTCCATTTTCTTATTATTTCATTATTGTATGTACATTCAATTGGTTCGACCTAAATCATTATTGATGCATCTTCTTCAAAGTGTTTTGGATTTTTTTTAAAGTGAATTTTTAGAAATTAATCTATCTTATTCATATCATTTTATTTATAGCAAAATGGTTATGCATCATCTTTGATTATTAAATCCAAATTTAAACTTTACAATTTAAAAATGACATCATAACTTTCATCCACGCGAGTTTCAGAGGAACACTACATTCCTGAAAAAAATATTTACAATCCATCTCCTTTATTCTCAATTTTTAACTTACCTTTATTTAATTATAAGGAAAATTTATATTCTATTGATTCATCTGGTCTATTCATAACTTTTTTCCTTTCTTCTTAAAATATTTAATCAATTTATCTATTAATTGCCACAATTTCATCTTCATCTAAATAAATATCTTAAGCTTATTTTTTATCAGACTTCCACCATGCAGTCTCTTTTTTTATTTTATCAGTTGTTGCTTTAGTAATCCTGGCTTCCTTTATTAGTTATCTAGCAGAAATTTAAACCCAATCTAGTAATAAATTGTATTCCACACACCTTATAATTTGATAAAAATTATCCTTCTCTGTTTAATCTAAATTAGATAAACCATGCTATTAAACTTTTGGAAATAATATAACAAAGTTCTATTAATAATAATTTGTTTCAGAAACTTTGCTGAGTTATTTTTTTCTTTGTAACCATAAAAGTTTAGAATATTTAGAACATTATTCAAAAAAATGTACAAATTGTTGAAACTGCATTTATTGAACTATAAGGTTTATTTCATCTAAATATAATTACATATTCTTTAAAGCTTCTTAAGTATTTTCTTCATTTTAAACTACTTTCATTTCAGCATTTATTACAATGATAAAATTGCAGTATTCTTTTGCCTCTAAATTTTATTTTAAAATTCTTTCTTCCATAAATTTATTATAATCCACAATATCATCTTCACTTTTTATATTCCAATAAATGGCTAAGTTTTTCAATTAAAATAGCTTATTCATACTAGCATTTTAACACTCTGTCCTATCTATGTAGCTTCTTTGCCAATTCTGATTTGTAGTGAAAACATCAAGCATCTCTAAAGTGATACCCCAGTTATAAATTGCTTCATATCGAATATGGATATTCACAATTTTCAATTAAATATTATCCATTATTTTTAAAGCCATTTTATCTAAATAACCTTTGTCTTTTTCATCACTTTTTTTTTTCTTAATTCCTCTTTTTAAACATTTTTAACAATAGTTTGTTAATCCTTCAACTTTTTTTATCAATACTGTATTATCATCAAAGTCCCATTCAGGAAGTGGAATCAATGTTACAAAAACATTTTCAATTGTGATTTCGACAGGCGCGCTAGTAATTTTCTTCCAAGGTATTTTAATTGTTAATTTCCCAACACTGCTTCTCCCTAGTTTTATTGGTAACTCCAACATCTCAATAATATCAGGTTTTAGATTAACATTTTCTATAATCATATTTCCACTCCAAACTCCCAACTTTAAATTATTCTTATCCAAACCACTTATAAATTTCCCAAAATATTAAATCAATACTTTTTCTAATATTTTTTCAAACATTTCTAATGATCTGAAATTAATATTAATATGGAATAAGAATTTATATTATAATAAATATTTCTTTTAAGGCCAAAGCCTTCTTTTGAAAGATCATTGTCGAATAATTCAAACTTAATTTAATGTATATTGAGTTAATAGAAAAACAGAACTATTCCAGAATTTCAAACAACAATATGTTCTTCAGATAATTTTGATATGAGGATCATTAGAATGCGGGAATTATGCTCCCTATTTGCAAGCAATTTAAAAATTATCAAATTACAACGAATTAGACGACGTTATATAGCATTATATAACATTGAAAAGCAATTCCAATTTAATAGTAATTAAGAATATCCCGTGAAGCCTTTGGCCTTAATTAATAAAAAAATGATTTAAACAAATTATGTCTCGAACCTTACGAATTCTACTTTCTATTTTATCAAATTAATTGTTCAATATTAGATAAGTTCAAATTATGTAAAGAGATTCCTCAATACAACAAAAAAAAAGGTAAAAAATAAATTGATTGTTAGAGTATGTTAATATTATGCAGAAGAAATTATTAGCTTATGTAATAGTCTCAAATACTATTCTAAACAAAATTATTAACATTTATAATTATATAATTATGAGCAAATTTTTTATAATATATTGTGTAATATATTATGTTTTGATTCCAAAAAAAAAAATTTATAATTTTCTATAATAAATTCTAATTTTAAATTACATAATATTTTCTTGCATTGAAACTTTTTATTTTTCGAGATTAAAACTTCATAGAATTCTAGTTTCAGTTAATCATTTATAATTACACTTTATGCATTTCTACATTCATCCCTTTTTTGAAAGCAGTCTAATTTTGAGTAGTATAGGAAAATTAATCTTCGGTAAATATAAGTCATCAACTCTAACAATCGAAAATTAAGAATTTACAAAATAAAACTCAAATTTGATGCAGAGATAATCTGAAAATAAAAAAAATTTACATAAAACCTCAAAGCAGCCCTTTTTTTTTGATAATTTTTGATATTAATTTTGGTCAGCCAATCACACCTGAAATTTGTCTAAAAAAAAAACAGAAAAGTTCCAAACATATGTAAAATTTAGTAAATACTATTTATGGAAAAGAAGTGGAGGATATTTACAGGATTCCTAAAGTGAATAATGTCTCATACACAGAACCAGAAATTTTGACCATGCATAAATATTGAATAATTTATCAATTTTAGAATTCCTTAGCCATTTCTAATTAGACAAAATAAAGTTAAAGACAAAACCGTTTTTATGAATGGTAGTTAAAGATTAATAGCTTCAAATTATTCATATCCCAAATTAGAAACTTTAAGAATACTTTTTGAAACACTTTCTGTATCTTATTAGTTGAATATCCTCAATACCCTAAATGTGAATAAGAACAAACTCAAATACAAATGTTTCAGCAAGCCTATCATGGTCTTGGTAAAAAAATATCCCACTACAAGAATAAGGGAATTAGTATCCAAAATATTAACTTGTCTCAGAAGTCTAAGATTGAATGGGAAACAACACTGACTGTTTTGGCACTTGAGATTCAAACTGGATTCTCATCAATAAAAAGTAAGTTAGTTATAACACAATATTATATAGAAAACCAGTTACTTTTTCATTTTATAAAGATAACCTATTATTTCTAATATTTTTAACCAAAATGGCATCTGTTGGATGGCTAATTGCATTACCAAGCACAATTGAAGGTATAAAAATTGGAGCAATTACTATTTTTTGATTTATCGTAAATTCCTTTGAATTAGTTCAGTGCCTCCAGCTCTGCCTACATGTTTATTAAATGGAGTTTCTTTTGCTTTGGCAAGAAAGTAAAAGAGGAAGATCCATTGTATCTCACCTAACAAAGCTATACTAAACCAAGCATCTCATCGATAATGTTGCAGGAAAGATAACAATAATGTGCCTTGATAAACTGGTACTTTAACCTAAAATAGACTAGATTTAATTGAAGTTAGATAATAATTAAATCTAAAAATGATAGAAAAACAAAAGCTCAAAATAGATGACTTAATAATTAATATCAATGATTTAAATATCGATGATAAGTCAGTTGTGCTTGATGATTCAAATGTAGCATTTAATGAATTAAAGAGAACACCAAAGTAAGTTTTATAAGACATTATGGCATCATGTTATAGTTTAGCAACTGTTAACAATAATTTGATTGGAGATCCTCTAAAAACTAAGATGTTTTAAGCCACTTAATATAAACTAGCTGATATCAATTCTTTTATTTATTCTCAGGATGGTAGCTAAATAAAATACTCAAAAGATTTGAATTCTCATCAACTCTATAAAGAATGAGTCTGAGTGTAGAAAAAGATGGAGAATTGAAATCCTATGTTAAAGGGTCACCTGAAAAGTTAAGGGAATTGATTAAGTAGCAAAGTGTACCATCAAGTTTTTATAAACTTCTGGATTTCTACTCAAAATTAGTAATTAGAATATTAGCTTATGGAGCAAAAACATTATCAAAGAATCAAATCATAATGATGTGGAATCTAATCTCACTTTTATTGGGTTATTAATCATGTACAATATATTGAAATCAGCTACAACAAAGATTATATAAATACTTTAAGATGGATGTATAAGGACTATTATGGTCCTGGGAGATAATGTTCTAACAGCTATTTCAGGTGCCAGATAATGTTCTATAATTTAACCTAACTAAAGTATATTCTTAGGGGATATTAGAGAGGAGAAAATCAATGGGAAGAATTAAATTGTATGGAAAGATTTTGATATGAGTGATAATGTACTCAATCCAGAAAATCTATCTCCAAAATTATTTGGAATTAATTATCAATGAAAGATTAATAGACTTTAGAAATTGCTTTAAATGAGGAGATTATCATTAAACTTCTTATGATAAAAAATCAATATCTAGGAGATCTTAATAGTTACAAAAAAGCAAATTTCAATCTTTTTTAAAAGAGAAGCAACTAATTCTAGAAAATTTAGATCATTTGATTGATGATCAGGATCTATGGGAAAACCAAAGAGCCCTTCGTTATTGCCATCTCAGGAAAACTTTTTAATTGCTAACCAAATAAATTGACAAAAATCCAACAGTTCGAAAGGTTTTTGGTAAATTCTTAAAAAGGTCATAAATATTTGCAAGAATGAAACCTGAACAAAAGTCTTAATTGAATACAGATCTACAAAAAATTAGTAGAATAGCATTATGCGGAATGTGTGGAGATGGAGCCAATGATTGTGGAGCTTTAAAACTGTAGATGTTGGCATATCTCTATCTGAAGTTGAAGCCTCTATTGCTGCTCCATTCACATCGAAAATTTAAGACATTTCTTGACTTGTTAAATTATTGAGGGAAGGAAGAGCTTCTTTGATTACAAGTTTTCAATGCTTTAAATATATGGCATTACTTGCGCTTTGTTCTATTTAATTTTAGCCAAGAATTCAGACTTTCAGTTACTGTACATTGATTTAGTCTTAATTATAATTCTAGCCTTTAATATGGGTAAGACTAAAGCGTATAAACATTGACATAATTTTAGCCAGTCTCAAGTTTACTCTCATTTCCTGTTTTAATGTCTGTTATTGGGCAAACTATTATTCAATTATAATTCCAATATATTTTTATTTTACATTACGTATGGTATTTGAGTAATTTAACAATTCATGAAGGAAATACTAATGATCGTTATGCAATGATGATCAATTATGAAAATACTGTAATTTATTTAATTATTTAATTTAGAGTTTATACTTATATTCAAGCTTCCAATACATATTTTAATGCATTTCATTTTCAATGGGAAAACCATTTAGAAGAGAATTTATACAAATTTTGGATTTACTTGTATTTTGATTATTTTATTTAAAATAAATTTTTATTTAAAATCCTGATCGAAGTAATTGAATCTCTCATTTTGTGTTTCATAATTTAATATTTTATTTATTGCTTAATTAATTTCTAAATAATATATTATATATATAAAGGTAAGTCAATATAATTATAATAATTCTCCAATCCTTATTTATATCGCTTTAATACTCCAAATCTAATTTTTATCAGGAAATCATCTCTAACAAGTCAACTTAATCAAATTCATTGGCTTTATTTTTAAGCTCATTAGCTATTTTCATTTCTATAATTTAAAAAATTTAAACAATATTTTCTTATTGGAATTACGAATTCTGTTAATAAATTAGAAATTAAATTCAATTTCGATATTTATTTGTTGAATTATTTATGCCTATTTCTATCATTTATATCTTATTCACCTTGTTTGATGCTTCAAATTGTTAATGGGAAATAAATGAAAGCTTCTTATCTAATGATGAGATATTTACAACAAGCGGCGGATCAAGCTCAGAAAATTTTTTATTGCCTTCAAGCTAAACTTCTGCAAATTTTATCACTTGTGCATCTCCATATACAAGCTACCTTACTTTAACTAATGCATATCCATCTGCTTGGACGCCAAATAGATGCACTATTTATGATAGGGATTGGATATCTATGGATTTATATTTTTAGGGTACATGGTCTTCTCAATATGTTTAATTTACCATTGGCACATTTTCTTATTCATATACCTACATATCCCCTGCAAATTATCTATTAACAACCGGATTTTGTGATGCTACTCCTTTTTAAGTTAGAACTTTAAATTTTACACTAGCAATAGCAGTAGGTAGTACTTATTCTTAATTGAAATTTACATCCTCTAATACAAATGCAGGTTTAGTTTCGATTAGAAATATCTTTGTCTCAAGTGTAAAATGTTATCCATCATGTTATTCATGCACAGGTCCAAAATACAATTAATGTACAATCTGCCATTATGGGATCCAAACAAACAATATCTGTCCACCTTGTCCATCAAATTAATACTATTAGAAGGAGTAAGGATGCAGAGATATTTGTGATGTATTCTCTCCATTATACTAGAATGGATTTTGTTAAAGTTATCCAAGTATGTATCTTTAATTAATATTAGTTGACATTATAGAAGGTAGTTATTTTACTGATCCAATCTATGATGACATTTTCAAATGGTCATTAATATATGATCCATAACATGTTGATACAACTCCAACTGCTATTATTATCGTTAATCATGTATTAGGAGTATTAAAATATAATTCAGGAGTTTATTAATATTTTAATTCACTTTTTACATATTCTAATCTCCCCTATTTGATTGGATTGCAAATTACAATTATGCTTTTTAATGAAATTCCAATTAATTGTGGAATATAGTTTAAGATTAACAATACTTATTATGGATCTATTTATAAAAATGCTTCGGGAATTCAAACCCATAAATTAAAAATCTCTGAACTATTAAATTATGGAATTGAATCAACATAAATGTATTTCACTGTGTAATATGATTTAATTTTATATATTGACATTCCAAAATATGAATTTGTATTTTAAGCAATTGGAAACTATACGTAAATATAATTTTGTAGTTTAGAGATGGCACAGCAGGATGGGGATTAAGATCAGTCTATTTTACTTCAGGATATTGCTCTGAATATTGTAAATTGTGTGAAGTATCATTTAAATGTAAGACTTGTGAAAGTGGTTACTATTTTTATAGAGATGGTACTTGCATAGGCAGTTGCTCATATCCATATTAGAGATTGAGTGGTTCTTATTGCTATGATTATGATGATGAAACACCTTGTATCATATAATATTATATTTAGACTCTTAATATTTAGTTTAAGAATATATGGATTAAACAGGCGATCCAGAATAATATGCAAAATATAAATTAATCTCTCAAAATGGATCGAACTTTTTAAAAGGTTCAGATATCTATTATTCATATTGGTAAAAATTTAGAGTCTTTGGAGGACCTATGGTATGGGCATAAGCTAAATTCTAAAGGGTTCATAATATAAACAATCCACATCATAGTGTTACTATTGCATTTTATATTTTATATGGACCGTCATTCCCTTCAAATGGCAAATTTATATATACAATTGAAAGTAATACACCAGTTCCAAAATCAACTGCAGGTATTTATTTAATTAATTCTGATGGCTCAAGAAAAGATTAAATATATGAAAAAGTCCTTCATAATACTAATACATTCACAATTACTTGGGAATGCTTTGGACCTAATAATGAACCAATCAAGGCATATTTGTGGATTTTATAATTATTATATTGCTGTTCATAATTGCTAACCTTATTGCTTATAATGCTCAGATTAATCTACATGTACTTCATGGAACAGCACTTATAATTCTAATATTGTTAAATTCTCTTAAGCAGGATGCTCGAGTAATCAATATTATGATAAAGAATCTGTAAGATGTTTAACTTGTCCATCATCCTGTTTAACTTGTACATCAAAACTAGATTGTTATAACATGTTAATCAACTTATACCTAATCTAAATTAGGATGTACTTGCACAATCCATTAATATGAAGAATCAAATTAATGTTTTAGTTGTCCTATTGAGTGTAATTAATGCTTAAGTTCTACTTACTGTATAGAATGCTTTAACTACTAATAACAGATAATTATCCTAAGGAAATTGCAATTGTATTGATGGGTATTATCCAATTATTTCAAATCCTAAATGCTAGCTATGTCATTTATTTTGTAAAACTTGTACTGGGCCAACTTCTGATGAATGTTTAACTTGCAATGCTATTTTGAATATTGAAAAAGTAGGATCAGTGTGTAGATGTCCAGGAGGGAAGTCTTATTAATATACAACAAAAACTTGTTCATCTTGTCATTCATCATGCTCAACTTGCTTTAGAACCACAATTGATGGCTGTTTAACATGTAATTCTACTTTAAATAGATTATTAAAAGGGCTAAAATGTGTTTGTGCACCTGGTTATTATGAATTAAGCATTGTTTGTACAAGTATATTTAATAATCATATTATAGGTTGTCCAATTTCAGAAAATTCCTCTCTTAGCGAATGTTATAAATAATGTAATAATAATTAATTGATTTGGCATACTATAACTTGCAGTTCTTGTGATACTGGATTTCAATTAGTTATATGGAGAATGTCAACCTATTTGTGGAGATTTATAAATAAAAGGATATGAATAATGTGAAGATAATAATACACTCCTTCATGACTTATGCTATAATTGCTAATTTTAATGTCCAGCTTAATGTGTAACTTGTGATTCATCAACTACTTTACCTTGTCCTGATGTTTGTGGAGATGGAATTATTACAGGAGTGGAAGAAATGTGAAGATGGTAATACCATTTAATATGATGGGCTGTTTTAATTGTAAATATTAATGTTAACCTGCATGTACAAAGTGTATAAAAGGACAATGTTTTGAGTGTGCAACTTAGGGTTGGTATATTGATCCATAAATTACTCCTTGGTAATGTAAAGAAAAATGTGGAGATGGGTTAATGATTGGAAGTGAATAATGTGAAGATAGAAACATTGATGATACAGATGGGTGCAAAGATTGTAAGTACTTCTGCAGAATTGGTTGTTCTTCTTGTAATTATGCAACAAAGACATGCTTAAGTTGTGCACTCCCTTGGGTTTGCTCCTAACTCTTACTATTGTCAAAATGTATGTGGAGATGGCCTAGTTGCAGTAGATCCTTCTGGGTTCTACTCAGAACAATGTGATGATGGTAATACAACTGAAAATGATGGTTGCAATAGCTCTTGTTAATTTTAGTGTTAGCCAACAACTATTTGCACAAGTTGTGTAAGTAATAGATGTGAAATATGCGCTACTGGATATTAACTTTCTAGTCAAAAAATATGTATACCAATTTGTGGAGATTCTATTAAAGTAATTGGTGAACAATGTGAGAAATCACTTATATTGCCCTACAAAGGATGTTCTAAATTGTTAAGCGATATGTTTATCTTCTTGCCTCTCTTGTAGTACTACAGGACTTGGTTGTCTATAATGTAAAAGTGGTTACAATAGAATTGATTATTTATGTTATTCTATCTGTGGTGATACTATTATAACTGAAGATGAATAATGTGATGATGGCAATTTGATTATTGGGGATGGATGCCATTTCTGTTAATTTAGTTGCTAGGACTCATGTCTTAATTGTCTTTAAGGAATCTGTTATGATTGCTAAGAAGGTTATTAATTAATATAATCTAAATGTTACTCTATTTGTGGAAATGGTCTTTAGAAAAATAATGAATAATGTGAAATTAACACTTCATTAAAGATTTATCAAAATTGTTAATCTTGTAAATTTTTTTGTGATTTGAATTGTTTCTTGTGTTAACTTGGTATATGTTAACAATGCAATGATGGATATGAATTATCCTCAAACAAATAATATTGTGTTAAGTCTCTATAATATAGTTTTATGATTATAGAAAACTGTCGTATTTAAATTGAGAATAGTTGCATTTAATGTTAAGTGTATGCCTACTTTATAAAAGCTGTGTAAAAGTGTAAATTAAGAATAGCGCCATTGAGTTTTTGTCAATATTAACTTTAAGTATCACCAGATCTATATTGTGGTTACTGTTTTGATTATTGCACATCTTGTAATGAAAATAATTGTGTACTATGTTAAAATGGCTATTATTTAGATGTAAATTATTCTTGTATTTCATTTTGTGGAGATGGAACATTAGCACATGATGAAAAATGCGAAATTTAAGATCAAAATTGCTTATATTGCATGTTTGACACTCCAAAATTCTGTAAATTATATTTTGAAGATCACTGTTTTGAATGCGAACATGGTTATTATCTTAATTATTATATTAATGCTTGTGAATCTTAATGTGGAGACGGAATAATAGTTTATGATGAAGACTGTGAAGATAATAATTATATCGAATTTGATGGTTGTTATTATTGTAATTATTCTTGTAGTTAATAATGTATAAATTGTATCAAAGGAGTATGTTAATAATGTGAGTAAAAATATTTGCTTAGAGATGGATTTTGTTATGGTTAACAAAATGCAATTGATTTATTTCCAGAATGCTAATTTAACTTAAATGGAATGTGTTTAATTTGCGTGGAAGATTATTTATTAAATGAGTGTGGTGATTGCATTCCTAGATGTTAAGAAAGTTGTATACATTGTTATAATGGTTAATGCTTTGCTTTGCGCAGAACAATATGAACTTTATAAGGATCGATGCTTGTTAATTTAGCAATGTTAAATAGGTTTGTATTTGAATTAAGAGTTATAAATTTGCTAATCTTCATGTGGTGATGGATATGTAACTGAATGGGAATAATGCGATGATTAAAATATGGAATAATTTGATGGTTGCTATTAGTGCAAGTATGAATGTGATGATAATTGCATCGAATGCATATAAGGCGAATGCTTTCAATGTTCTTAAGAATTTAATATAGTCGAGAATAAATGCTTATCAAAATGTGAAGACACATGCCTGAATTGTGTTTAAGGAGGATGTTAGTTATGCAGTAGTGGATATTTCTTGAATGAATATTTCATTTGCGTAAAAATAGGATGTGAATACGATTTTAGTTGTACTTCACACTGTGGAAATGGCATATTAGAAGATATGGAATAGTGTGATGATTAGAATCTATTTAATGATGATGGTTGTAACAATTATTGTGAATAAACTTGTGATGTTAATTGTACAAGTTGTATTGATGGTGTTTGTTTTGAATGTAAAAAAGGGTGGAAATTGGGTTTATACCTATGTGATCCAATTTGTGGAGACTCATTTGTTTTTGGAAATGAAGAATGCGATGACGGAAATTAGACTAATTTTGATGGGTGTTTCTAATGTAAATACTAATGTTCTCAATATTGTGAAAATTGCTTGAATGGAATATGTCAATCTTGTTAGCCTAATTATGAATTTGATTAATTCAGTAATTCTTGCAAACCAATTCAACCCTTGCTTACAATAAATGAATAGCCGAATTGTAAAATATTAAATAATAACTAATGCATATTTTGTTAACAGGGATATCTTGATTCATTTAAAAACTTATGTATAATTGATTTTAATATGAATAAATGCCCTAAAAATTGTAGGAAATGTGTGCTTTCCAAATGTTTAGAATGTGAATTTGGATATTATGGTAACAAGTGTATGCCTAAATGTGGAGATGGTATTATTGTTTTAGAAGAGGAATGTGACGACGGAAAGGAATTCTAATTAGATACTTGTTTACATTGTAAATAACAATGTCTTCAATATTGTAAGACCTGTGTTTATGGAGTTTGTACAAATTGCATTTCCGGCTTCTATTTGGATATTGTAAGTAATTCATGTAACTCTGTTTGCAATGATAAGATACAAGCAATGGATGAAGTTTGCGATGATGGCAATGACTTGAAATATGATGGTTGTTACTAGTGTAAATATTAATGCCAAATGGAGTGTTTAGATTGCTAATTTGGAAAGTGTACATTATGTGAACCACCTTTAATACTAACAAACGATATTTGTGCATAACTAAATTTATGTGATAATTTAAAAGGATTATATTAAGATAATAATGGTATCGATTGTTTGCCACAATGTGGAGATGGTATTGTTGCAGGCAATGAATTTTGTGATGATAAGAATGATGTTCCTTTTGATGGATGTTATGAATGCAAATTTTAATGTTCATTATAATGTCTAATATGCAACAAAGGGGAATGTTTTTAATGCTACAATGACTATACCTTATAAAATAACTAATGTTCGTTCTATAACAATACAAGTAGCAATGGTTAAAATCCTGAATAGTTGTCATTAAATGAAGATATGGTATGCAGAGGATATGAATGTGTATATTCTAAAAAACCCAGGATGAAACTATCTTATAAAATGTAATCCTTTGCTCTATAGTATGTTGAGATTACGTTTGATTAAGAAGTCAAATTTAGAGATTAGGTTTAAAAAGGCAAAAATCTATTTAACATAAGCATTAATGACATAGATTCTCAGTATTATAATATCACAATCAATTCAATTTAAGATATCTCATTTGATCTTTAATATGCTTAGTATTAGGTTTAAGTTGAATTATTTTTACAGCTTTCAACAAAACCAGTTCTTTTAGTTTAGTTGAATCAAGAAATTATTAATGGAAATAATTAAACACTTTTTCAAAGTAATTAATCAATTTCTCTATAAACACCAAAAATAATGTCTGAATAATTAAAATAAGTATCTATTTATGCTTAATAATCCAATAATGCATTTATGATTGGAGCAATATTAATTTGTATAATATCTTTAGTTTCTGGTGAAAGTTCTTTTGTTGTTGAAACCTTGAATTTATTGTAATATCAATCTTTTTTAAGATTTATTAATGTTGAGTATCCTGAAAACCTCTATATATATTTTTAAGCATAAGAATTGCTATCTATATCATCTTATTTACAACTATTTTAAATTGATGATTATTTAAATTTAATCACAAGAAAAGAAAAATAAATTGATCTAAACGGAAAATTTTAATAATATAATGTAGAAGCTGATCTTTTTACCAATATTTTACCGCAATTAATTTAATGTTTAGTTTTGGTAATACTACTTTATTTTGCAGAAAATCTTTATAATATACTTTTTAGATTAAGTAAATATTTGAGACATCTTGTACATGAAAAAACATTATAATCAAAAAATTTTATATATAATGATTAATTTAATACTGGTTTGCAAAAATTGCATTCAAATCATTGATGAAAACTAAATATTTATAGAATTATGATTAAATAATATAACTCATTTACGTTAATTCATGGGATTTGATATTTAAAGTGATTTTATAACTTCATTATATTCAAATGGACAATTTGAGAAGCATTTTAAGTACTTTCTCTGCTAGTTTAATATTATTTGCTTGCATAAGCATACTATTAAAGTCTTTTAGTTTATGTAGCGATCCACAGGAAAAAAATATTATAGAATAGCTAGACATAAAATTTATAACTTTAGATATTTCCAGAACTCTCTTTTTCCATGTCGTCTTAATACTATTCTAAGAATAATAAATTTTGCAATTCTTACTAATATCCTTGAGTAATATAGCTTAATGTTATATAATCTACCAATATAAATAATGCTCTTATATGAATAGGATTATATTCTTGACAATTGAAGGTGTTTTAACAGTATCTAGTTTAAGTTTATTTTTATATCTAGATGTTGGTCAGCTTTATTTTTCTTATGAGAACAAAATAACCTTAGGATTTATTCATATGGGCTTGTTAATTATGAGCCTTGGAATAGTTTTTATAAAACAATTATTTCCAAAAATATAAAAAATTTGGAAGCTAATTTGTAAATAAAGGAAAGTAAATGTTGCAAGTAGTCAATTATTTTATTGAGTGATGAGAGATAACTAATTTTGAATATAAGATATGGTTATCAAATAAAATTATTAATAAAGAATAAAGTATTATAAATAAAAATATATTATTATCATTAAGGCTTCTAATGTTAATAATCTATAATTCTTTTCACTTCAATTATCAATTATTTTTTTTGATAATCTAAGGCTCTTAGAGATCCAAATCGTATTCTTTATTGCACTTCTCAATATACTATTATATGTTCTTTATCTTAGCTCAAACTTTTAGGGTTGGCCCTTTATATAAGTAGGAGATAGTCCCATTAAAATGGCTGCGCAATTTTTTTTATGACTAAAACCTCTGAAAGTAGTCATAACAAAATTGTGTGTTTGTGGAAAAAAATCGAAAAAAAAAAATCTAATATAGTCTGATTAAATTTATTTTTAAGAGAGAGAGAGAGTAAGTATTTAGAGAATTATTTTCGTTTCCATATTTAGTAAAATCCTGGGTTTGGTTTTTGGAATCACGCAAAAATAGCCCTCTTAAACCATGAACGCGAAGGCAACGAATCCCGGCTCTCCTAGAGGAAGATACCCATCTCAATATTTTTGCTTGCTAAGTAGGTGAAGGTGCCCCCCCCGGGTTTGGGTTCTGGGTTTGGGCTTGCGGTTTGGGTTTGGGTTTGGGGTATGGGTTTGGGTTTGGGTGAAA